GCGCTTGGGGAGCACTTTTGTTCACACATACTCACATTTGAAATCTCATTCATCCACCATTCCGTTGCCCTTTCTTTTGACATCATCCCTAGGAGAGTGACACTCCCCTTCATTCATATACTATACATGCTAAAAGGTGATGTTTATAGGTTAGGAAACAACAAGGAAGTTTGTCAAGCATTTTTGGCGCCGTTGCCGGGGAAGGCAAGTGTCAAACCAAGAAGGTGATTTTCGGACGACGAAGGTAAGTCCCATGATCTTCATCATGGGCGGAGGTACGTTGTTCCGTGTACATAATCTTGTTTGTGTATAATTTTATTTGTTTTGTTTTATGTGGAGGCGGAACGATCGAAACCGACTTGTTAGACAAAACTTGGCCCCTACCATGAATATTGACCAAGAACAACCCGAGGATGCGGGTGACAATTTTGACAATATAGGTGCAAATCCAAATGTCCAAAGGGATGCAAATCCAAATGTCCAAAGGGGTGGGGGACCACAAGAACCCCAAATACCCAATCCGAGAATGAATTTTCCCCTCCCGTGAATGAGGGGAATAATTTTCAAATGGATCCCCGGTGAGGTCAATGAGGGATTTCCTACAACCAACACGAAGCACCACACCATCATGCATCCTCCTTCCGGTCCAAGCTCATCTTTTCATAGTTAAGCCAGGGATGTTGCAACTAATTCCCACGTTCAACGGACTTGAAACTCAGAGCCCCTATTCACACATAAGGGATTTCGAGGAAATAGTTGCAACCTTCCTTCCCAATCATGGGATGGAAGAGATAGCTAGAATGAAATTGTTTCCCTTTTCCCTGAAAGACAAGGCAAAAACGTGGCTTATTTCTTAAGGCCTCGAACCATCACATCGTGGAGCCAAATGATTTCTGAGTTTTTGAACAAATTCTTTTCGGTGCATAAAACCACCGCCCTAAAAAAGCAAATTCAAAACTTTTCAAAAAGCCCAATGAGCAATTCTATCAATGTTGGGAGAGGTACAAGGAATTGCTACAATCCCTTCCACATCATGGCTTTGAACCATGGCAATTGGTGAGTTTCTTTTATGAAGGAATCACACCGGGCCATCGACAGTTCATTGACATGATGTGTAATGGGGAGTTTTTGAACAAAGACCCTAATGAGGCCTTAGATTACTTTGATACATTGGCACAAAATGCACAATCATGGGACATTACAGATCCCACCGATGTACCAAGGTCTTCTCCTCAAAAGAGTGGCCAAACTCAAGGGGAGGGATTTATGATTTGAGAGACCGGGAAGACTTGTTTTCAAAAATTGCTAAATTGTCAAGGAAAGTTGAGAGTCTTGAAGTCAATAAGAGACACGAGGTGTCTAATGTGTCACGAACCGAGGAGGGTTGTTCAATTTGCGAATGTATGGAGCATTCCCTATCGGATTGCCCAAACATTCCGACCCTTAAAGAAGCGTACCATGAACAAGTCCATGCCTTCAACCAAACAAGGCAATCATTTTCTCCCAATTCGAATACTTACAATCCGGGTTGGAGTAATCACCCAAATTTTAGTTGGAGAAATGAAAACCCCATTCCTCATGGTTCAAGTGCATATGCATCTCCCATGCCTCCCAAGCAAAACCAATACCATGGCCAAGGGCAAGCATCTAGCTCTCAATACCCCCGGACCAATCCACAAGGGTATTCGTCAAACCCACCACCACAGAATTTTTCACCAAATCCACCTCCACAAAATTTTTCTCAAGGACCGTCCAATCCATCCACATACCAACCTCCTCACAAAAGGAATTTGGAGGATATGGTTCATTCCTTCATTCAAAGCCAAACCGCCATCAATAACCAAAATGCCACAGCCATCAATGATGTAAGAGCCCAACTCACAAAGTTGACAAACTCCATAGGGGCATCTCAACAAGAAAAGGGGAAGTTTCCCGCTCAACCACAAGAGAACCCTAGGGGTCAACACCTTGTTGAGTCATCGGAACCTTCGAGAGAGAGTTGCGAGCAACTCAAAGCTGTCACCACCCTCCGCAGTGGCAAAGAAATTGACAAAACCATTTTGCCAACGGTCTCACCCAAGACCACATTGCCAAAAGAAAAAGATCTCTTGGGTGACGCCGACAAGAGTGAGGTGAGTGAAGAGAAAGAAAGAGAGGTTGTTGAGAAAGGAAAATTAATTGATGATTGTGTGTTTATTCCTCCCATGCCTGCCCCTTTCCCAAGTCGTTTGAAGCCACCTGTCAAAGTGGCTAATTATGCTGATATTTTGGAAATGTTTAAGCAGGTGAAGATTAACATTCCACTCCTCGACGCCATCAAGCAAATTCCATCATGTGCTAAGATTTTGAAGGACTTATGCACGGTGAAGAGGAAACTGAATGTCCACAAGAAAGCATTCCTCACCGAGCAAGTGAGCTCAATATTGAGGACCAACACTCCTCCCAAATTCAAAGACCCCGGTTGTCCAACCATAGCCATCACCATTGGAAATTGTCGAGTGGAGCAAGCACTCCTCGATTTGGGGGCAAGTGTGAATCTTCTCCCCTACTCGGTGTACCAACAACTGCAGCTTGAGGAGTTGAAGCCCACCTCAATCACGCTTCAATTGGCGGATCGTAGTATCCGTACACCAAGGGGAGTAGTTGAGGATGTCTTAGTTCAAATTGATAAATTTTACTTCCCTGTCGATTTCATTGTGCTTGATACACACCCTGCTGCAAACCTTAGCTCCCAAATTCCCGTAATACTTGGAAGACCCTTCCTTGCTACATCTAATGCCGTGATAAATTGCAGGAACGGTCTAATGAAGTTGGCATTTGGGAATATGACAATGGAGCACAATGTATTCAACTTGGCAAAGCAACCGGGTGATGATGAGGAAGTAAGTGAGGTCAATAGAATCGACACTTTGGTTGAGGAGCACTTGGAGCTGGAGGGGATATTGAAATTCAAGGAAGAAGGAATTGTGGATCTTGAGAATTATGATGAGCAAGAGGAGGTAAAAGATTTGAAAGGGATGGAAAGGTGGATCCCTACATTCGAAGAGTCCATCGAGAAAAGAAAATTTTTCCATCGGATGAACAAAAGCCCAACTTGGAGTTGAAGCCCTTGCCCACCCATTTGAAGTACGCCTATCTTGGGGAAGGTGAAACATTTCTGGTGGTCATTAGCTCTACATTGAACATGGAACAAAAAAAAGAACTCTTGAAGGTATTGAGAAAACATAAAGGAGCAATTGGGTGGACCATTGCGGATATCAAGGGGATAAGCCCTCTTATTTGCACCCACCGCATATATCTTGAGGAGGATTCCAAACCTTCCCGACAACCACAAAGGCGGTTGAATCCCATCATGAAGGAGGTGGTGAGGGATGAGGTTCTGAAACTACTTGATGTGGGGATCATTTTTCCAATTGCCGATAGTAAGTGGGTTAGCCCCACGCAAGTAGTACCTAAGAAATCTGGAGTTACGATGGTTGAGAATGATGAGAATGAGCTTATACCTATAAGAGTAATCACCAGATGGAGGGTGTGTATTGATTACCGAAAGCTGAACGCTTGCACAAGAAAAGACCACTTCCCATTATCATTCCTCGATCAAGTTCTAGAACGAGTAGCGAGGCATCTATTCTACTATTTTTTAGATGGATACTCTGGCTACAATCAGATTGAGATTGCTTTGGAGGATCAAGAGAAGACCACTTTCACGTGCCCCTATAGTACCTTTGCCTACCGCCGCATGCCATTTGGACTGTGCAATGCTCCGGGGACTTTTCAACACTGTATGATGGGAATTTCAGTGACATGGTGGAAAAGATAGTGGAGGTCTTTATGGACTACTTTTCGGTGTTTGGGGATTCATTCGAGGGATGTTTGGCAAACTTGGAGAAAGTTCTAACAAGATGTGAGGAGAAAATTCTAGTCTTGAATTGGGAAAAGTGTCACTTTATGGTGATGGAAGGAATTGTGCTTGGCCATATAGTTTCGGCAAGGGGTATTGAAGTCGATAAATCCAAGGTGGAGGTCATCTCCAACCTCCCCATGCCAATAGTCATCAAAGGCATCCAATCGTTTTTGGGCCATGCAGGTTTCTATCGTCGATTCATAAAAAATTTCAGTGCATTGGCCCGACCCTTGACCAACCTGCTGTCTAAGGAGGTCCCATTTGAGTGGTCGGATGATTGTGAGGCATCCTTTAAAAAACTTAAAAGCATGCTAGTCACACCTCCGATCATGCGACCACCCAATTGGGATCTACCTTTTGAGCTCATGTGCGACGCGAGTGATTACGCGGTTTGGCGTAGTGATCGGTCAGAGGGAGGAAAATAGACCATATGTGATACACTATGCTAGCAAAACACTTAATGAGGCTCTGATGAATTACACTACCACCGAGAAAGAATTGCTAGCAGTAGTGTTTGCCTTAGATAAATTCCGTGCTTACATCATTGGTTCGTCTATTATTGTCTTTACTGATCACTCTGCTTTAAAGTATTTGTTGTCTAAGCGGGATGCAAAATCGAGACTCATTAGGTGGATACTCCTCCTACAAGAATTCTACTTGACGATCAGGGATAAGAAAGGAGTTGAGAACGTGGTGGCAGATCATTTATCCCAGCTTGTGGTGCAAGAGGCCGATGAGCACATTCCTATCCTTGACTTTTTCCCTGATGAGCATTTGTTGTCAATTCATTCTGTTTGTCCTTGGTATGCTAATATATGGAAACAACTTGACAGGAAGCATTCCTTCAGAGGTTAAAGAGCTAAAACAACTTCAAAGGCTGTATCTGAGTGAAAATAATTTACAAGGATCCATTCCGGAGGGCTTTTGTCATTTGACTGCCTTGGGGGAACTAATTCTTGGTCAAAATGAGCTTTCAGGACCGATACCACACTGCCTTGGGAATCTTATCCACCTGCAAAGGATCCAGTTGAATTACAACAGCTTAATGTCGGCCCTTCCTTTAAGTATCTGGGAAATTAGAAGTCTATTATTGGTCATGAACATATCACATAATTTTCTACAAGGAATACTTCCAGCAGAAATGGGAGGGTTGGAGGCCATTGAAGCAATTGATCTCTCTGGAAACCAATTTTTCGGTGAAATTCCAAGCACACTAGGTGACCTTAAACGCCTGAGGCATCTTTCCCTTTCAAACAATTCATTACAGGGTCCTATTCCTTCGTCGTTTGGGGACATGATAAGCTTGGAATTTCTGGATCTCTCTTCAAATTCCTTATCTGGTACCATACCTAGATCGTTGGAGAATCTTTCACAACTTGAGGAAATTAATGTGTCTTTTAACCATTTCCAAGGTGAAATACCTAGGGGTGGGGTTTTTGCCAATTCTTCTGCTCAATCATTCATGGGGAATGAAGGGTTATGTGGCTTGCCTAAAATAGGATTTCCTACTTGTGCTAGCAATAGTAAGTCGCAGGGATCAAAGCTGAAAATCCTTTTCCTCAAGTATGTAACTCCAGTGGTTGGTGCATGGATATTTGTAAGTGCTTTAGTGTTTCTGTGGCTAAGGCATAGGCGTAAGAAGCAGCAACCATCCGAACCTGTAGAATTGCTACAAATCAGGACTCACCAGATGATTTCATATTTTGAGCTTCAACAGGCAACAGATAGTTTCAGTGAGTCCAATTTACTTGGAGTAGGTGGTTCTGGTTCTGTGTACAAGGGCACATTGTCTGATGGAACAATTGTGGCGATAAAAGTTCTGAAATTACAAGATGAAGTTGCGCGCAAGAGTTTCGATGTTGAATGTGAGGTGATGAAAAATATCAGGCACAGGAATCTTGTCAAAGTAATCACAACTTGCTCAAATCAGGAACTCAGGACCATTGTCCTTCAATTCATGCCAAATGGGAGTCTTGAAAATTGGTTGCATGGGCAGAACAATCCCTTGAGTCTCCTCCAAAGAGTAAACATTATCCTTGATGTGGCGATGGCACTGGAATACCTCCATCATGGTTGCGATGATCCTGTGGTTCATTGCGACTTGAAGCCAAGCAATGTTCTCTTGGATGATGACATGGTGGCATATGTAAGTGACTTTGGTATCTCTAAAATCCTAGGTGGAAACAGGCTCATAGCACAAACCAAGACATTGGGCACAATTGGCTACATTGCACCAGGTACAATGATTCTTGTAAATTCATTATTACTTTTGCTATTTTTTATTCATCCAACTGCCTTTTTTTAACTCTGGATTCAATAAAGCTTTGGTAGACTGCAACAAGATAAGGAGAAGTTAAGGAAATAAATGGTAATATAATTTTTAAGAGTAGCCATTATATTATGATCAAGACTTTTGTTAGATTCCGAATTGGATTGTCCTTTCCGCTGTCATTGTGACAAATCAGAGGGAACCTAAGACTACTAGAAAAATAAATCTTTTTGCTAAGACAAAGTATAGCAGAATGCAAGACGAGCAGAAAAGTTAGAGAACACCTAAGCCAAAACGTTGAAGAGTAGGAGACGAGTACACTGCCCAGAAACTTAGTTGTCCCTCCGTGAGTAAGTTGTTTAGTATTTCTTTCTTAAGCAAGAAGGCTAGAGCAGCTCTGGTCGAGCCCCTGTAAAATTCAAAGCTAACAACTTCTCTAGATGATGAGTGCTAAGCCGCAGAAATCAACAAGGAACTACTTGTCAAACCATTTTGGATACGAATGTAGTACCAAAGTGTAGTACGAGATCCTGAACATTATCCCTTTGAATTCTTAAAATCTTTAGCTGTTATCTGTGGCTATTAAATGTTAAAAATAATTGGCTTAAATTACTTGTACTGTGATTTTAGAATATGGTTCAGAGGGAATAGTGTCCACAAGTGGTGACGTTTACAGCTACGGGATCATGTTAATGGAGACATTCACATCTAGAAAGCCAACAGAAGAGATGTTCACTGAAAAAACAAGCTTAAGACAATGGGTAGAAGCATCATATCCCACTGCTGTGATGGAAGTCGTCGATGCCAATCTTTTCGATGGGGAAGATCAAATCAGCACTAGACAGAAATTTTGCGTATCATCTTTGATCGGATTGGCTCTTGACTGCTCGATGGCAAACCCCGAGCAGAGGATTAACATGAAAGATGTGGTGATCAGGCTTCAGAAAATAAAGCCCGAGCTCTTAGAAACAAAGAAGTTGCCTACTTTGACACTCTAGTTCTGTCTTCATCAGTATGGAAACCAGTATACCTTTGATAGTGCACTTTTTTCTTTAATTGCTTTGATAGTGTAGTTGAATGAATGTATTGGTGTCATAAATTGTTGTAAGTCCGTTCCGAATCGTAATCTGGACATTTTCTGAGCCTTAAGCCATGGAGTTATCGACCCAAAGCGGGACTCATTGACACCAAAATACACACACATTCTTGAACACATCAAAATATACCGTGTTCCTGTCATATTGTGATGACGACTCTAACACAAAAGCAAAGTCAATGGTAGGTAGAAGCAGCATAAAACATTTGAGGGTTGAGGGCAAAAATTGATTGGAATTCTATCATCTTGTCAAACGCCCGTTGACTTTATTCTCTAAAATTCTACATGAAACGCCATTGATATCATAGAACCTGCTTAGCATTGCTAATAATTGAAGAAGGAGCAATGGGTAGAAAAATTTCGGGTAAAATTACATGACACCATCACCTTTCCCAGTGTCTCCACAAACTGCAACTTTTTAAACCTAATAATACACTGGGGATAGACTTCAAAATTAATGTCAAATGTCAGATCTAGATTGAATCTTGATATGTCAAAGATCCGAATTCAATAAAAAATTTGAGTTTTGAATTTGATTCATTTACCCACGTTTTTTATCTACATTCGTTAATAATTGGATATTCGAACCGATTAGCAGATTCGATATGAATATTTGAATTCCAACAAAATTTTATAAAAAATTAATAATTTTACCAAATTTGAATTAACTTTCAACATAATTTAATCAATCAATCATTTTATTCAATAATTTTTGTTTAATTTCATATCAATCTCATGAATAATTTAACCATGTATATATGTATATACAATAATTTCTCTCAATTAAATATATATATACATACCGTATCAGATTTTTATCAGATCGAATTTACATGTTTCCAAATCCAAATCCGTTTAAAGAAACTTAATTGGATTCGGATAAACAAATTAAAATATTAATCTATATGTAGTTAAATAGACTTGAATTCACATAAAATCCACTCCATTGGCAAGCATACCCTAAAGTGCCAAATAGGTCATGAAATTGCACAAGCACCCCTTGCACTCTTGTAATATCTATCTAATATTACAATTAATAAGTTAACTTATTAGTTTATGGTACAAAATTTATCCCAATTTTTTTTTTACTTAAAAAACATTTATTTATCTGCACAACACCCAATGTCAGATAACTCAACTAACATACTCCCTAATTTCAAACAATTTCATTAATCTACATATATCTCTCTCTTCTCTCTTCCATACTTATTTATTATTTTCTCTCATTTCATTTCATTTTAATTTTAAATTACATAATTGAAAAATAAATTAATAAATTATTATTTAAAATATAAATACTGCACAACCAATGTTAGTTTGTTGATATTACAGAGTGTCTTTAGACAGAGAATTATTGCTAGTTTTATAATAAGTCATTTTGTACTTGTAATGTAATGCATAAAACTATAGACTGTCAAGTAATTCGGATGAAAATAAATCCTGGTGAAGCATAGTAACTTGCTCACGGATCATGGGCTGGCCTTACAGCCTAACTATCCTCCGGTTAATGGGCCCTAACCAAGACGCTCGATGCCCTGTTAGTCCGGCTGGTAGGAGCATTGCATGGGCCCTATTTTAGATACTTTCGCGTCCAACAGCTTGGCCCATGGACCCACCCCGAAGCCACAGAATTTTAAAAATTAATATATTAATTTAATTTAAATAACAAAAAAAAATCCAATTATGGTCTGTTTAAAGGACCACTAGGACTGGCCTTTTTAGCTGTGGCCTTGGCCAACACACCTTTACATCAATGATTATTTCGATGCGGTGTCTTTTAGATTGTTATGTGAATTTTGAGTTTGCACTCTAACAGTTGAGTTATTTAGACTAGTTATAAAGACAATTCTCTATTATTGAAATGGGAAGGAAAAAAATCGATAATGGTATATACTTACCAATACAAAGAGGAAAAATAAAATATATATTGGTGTGTTGAGGAATTGACAAGAGCCAAGTCAATTTCCTTGATGCTAAAAGTGAATGGGTTTGTTAAAAAGGAGGGGTTGACAATGGTAAGATACAGCCTGCAGAGGTTGGAGTGATTAGGAGTCATGAGCTCAGGAACAGGGTCTGTTTGTAGGATCTATGTGGATTATATGCAAAAAGTGCATGGAAGATAATAACAGCGTAATTAATATAAGGGTGATCATACTTATTGATCACAAAGGAAAACAAAAGCCATAACGGGTCTCCTTTCCAGGAACTTACTTTGTGGCTGGTATAGATATCAAATGATATCAAAAAGTGCATTGACATGTTGTGCCCTTGTTCATTCGTATATGCTATTGATGTATTGTTTTAAGCAACAATAGTTGATTATTGGTTGTAATAGTAATCTATCAATATATATTTCAAAAAAGGAAAAAAAAACACTTACAAAATCTGGCTTAATAGCGGTTTGCCACCTCATTGAATATTAACTTGTCCTAAATTGTTTGTGGTTTTAGAATTGATTTTGGCAATACCACATGGTTCAGGAGCATGTTGAGCTAGCATTCCACGACAGATTCTAATCTTCTTACACATCTCAAAGTATTATCGTAACCACAGTTCAAACAAATTAATTGTTATTCGGCCATGATTTGTACATGCATCCCCCTTTTTACCAACAAAGTTAATGATGCATTTAATAAAATTTATATTCATAATAACAATAGGCTAAATCCTGGTTTATTGAACAACCAAGAGCTTGAGTAACCCAACCAATTTGATTCATTTAACTGATTCGAATCTGCTGGTGGATCCGTGGCTGTTTCCTTTCATTCTAGATTGTGTTTCATCCCTCATGAAGGTCGTGATTCTAGATCGTGATATCTTTTTTTTTTTTTGGGGGTTAACCAAGAGATATTAGGACGTCTTAGAGCGCCATAAAATTCTCACACTACGTAATTTCCAGGATAAATGAATTGTAGTAGCTACTTCTACTTATCAAATGGTTCTATCAGGCAAATGTATTTGTTTGATGTTGTCTGCCTTCCAAATTAGGACACTTATAAAAAATGGCTTAGTAGACGAGACTACAGTTATTGCAGAATCTGAGTAGGATAAGATACACACAATCTTACCTTTGAGATCTATGTATACTGATTTTCTTCAAGCACAAAGTATAACATGTTTGAAGCGACATTGGAATTTAAAATTTTTGGTCAATCCTAAATTGCAACATTATCAAAAAGAATATTATCAATAGAAAGAAAATGAAAATGAAAATTGTTGAAGCATTTACTAGATGCTATTGAAAAATGTGAGCTTTTTTAATCATTTGATGAGAATTTGTAATGAATTTGTCTCATGATTGAAGATCAATTTTTCATGGCAAATGTTTTGCAAACATATTTCAAACTTTTTAGGATTATTTCACACGGCCTTCCCCTCATGATTGAAGATCAATGTTTTGCAAATGTTTTAAGGATGGGGATTCTTACTCCCATTATTTCTTTTGTGAATGAGGAAGCTGATTACCGTCACAGATTCATTCCCCATCTGGTAATGACAGAGAAGGTGCAAGATTGGCTAGGGTGTCTGCATTTGTGCTCTACTTAGCGAAAACCAATTTTGTCTAGTGCACTATAATTTTCATTTAGTACCAAACAAACTGAACTAAATGAGAATGGCAGCTGTACGCTTGGAATTCTGATGTGGTGTACGATTGTCTTGATGGAACACTCAGAGGAGAACCATGTCAATTAATAAAAGTCATGTTGAATTTTAGACGTTTTAAATTTGAATTTTAACAATTTTTTGAAATCAGACAATGAAAAATTTATTCTTAATAAATATTTGGTTTCAGTGTGAAAGATTTGCCAGAGAAAGAATTAGTTGAAATAGACGTAAACTAACCCAAACATTTATTGTATTTCTGTGTGTGTTGAGAGAGAGAGTGGGGGGTAGCATATAAATTAATTAAGGTGTGTTCATTGAAATTCGAATAACTAGGCACCAATCATTCCATATTATTTTGGTATTTAGACAGTAGTGACCCAAGCTTATCTTCTTATCAACAAAACCTAACCAGCTCTCGTCTAAAAGTCTCAAGGTTGGTCTTGCTGATGATGCATGAAATGCAATTTCAAAGGAGTGAGAGTCTGAGAGATTCTTGGACTGAGAGAAAGACAAGCAGAAGCATGTTATCTTCCTCCCAAAGATCTGAGTCCATTTGATAATTAAGATACATATTCGTAGTTGTTGGAGAGACTTCTTTTTGAAAAAAATGATAGTTTTCTCCTTGTTATTTCTATGCAAGTGCGGTTCCGGGCCTCTTTGTTCTCTTCTCTTCATTATTAAATTTGATTAGAATAGTATTAAAGTTGAAACCCAGGTCAATGAGTGGTTCCCCCTCTATAAAATATTCTAATTCTTGGGACGCATCACTTTCCTTCGTTTACGTAATTGTTCGGAGTGAAAAATCCTTACAAGATTAGAGAATTTTTTTGCTTAATTTTGTTAGAATCTAGATCGAGTGGGTGATTAGTTTGGCCCAAAGAGAAGTGAATTTTAATCTTTTAAGTTTTAGATTCGGAGTCGACTAGGTACCGAAATTTATTATATTTGTAAGTATTTTTACTATTGCTGTGGTTATTCTTATCACTGTTATAATACTTAAAAAAATGATAAAAATAGTTATTACAACAGTAATAAAAATACTCACAATAGTGGTAAAAAGATCAATAAAAGTGAGAAAAAATTTTATACCCAAGAAAAGTGGTAAAAATAGTTATTACAACAGTGATAAAAATATTCACAGTAGTGATAGAAATACCCAAAAATGATATTTGATTATAAAATAACTCACAAAAATTACAAAAATATCCTTTGAAATAATAAATTTTAAAGATATAATAACAATTTTTTTTGACGGTACCGTAATTAAATCCTTGAGATTCATGTGACAGATTAATAAATTGATTAGAATAAGATTAACTAGAATTGCGACATAATCCACAATGACACAGACTTTTATTGGTACGTACCCTAGTCCTAGATATTGACTTTTTACTATATAACCAAGCCAATTCATATATGTAGGGTTAGAAAAAGGACCTTGATAATATTAGAAAACAGGATGCTAATGGTGCCGTAATTAGCGACTTGATGATTTGATAAGAAAATTCAACACTTCTAATGTAATGAAGGGTAGCTCCATAATCGAATATTTTTAGGAGATTGCCGACAAAGCTATAGGATAGTGGCTTCGTTCTTGATTTTACCTGTAGCATTACTTTCTAATAAAGTAATGAAAGCAAAAAAGCTGTGGCTAATATGAGAGGAAATTTTTGTAGTACTTTATCCAGTTGTTTGTATTAAAATATACAGAAGGATGAGTGAACTAATCCCAGAGAGAGAGATGCACAAACCCTAGAAGAGACGTAGACTTTTTTGGTCCTCATAAGCATCACATCACTCATTTTTCCAACCTATAAAGTTCGGTCTTCTCTTCTACAATATCCCACCAATAATTAGAGACAGCTTCTATATGTGTTATTTGGCTGGAGAGAGAGATGGGTAGAGCTCCATGCTGTGACAAAACCAACGTAAAGAAGGGTCCATGGTCCCCTGAGGAACATGCAAAACTCAAGGCTTATATTGATACTTATGGCACTGGAGGAAACTGGATTGCTCTTCCCCAGAAAATTGGTATATACTCTCTCTCTCATGCTCCATGTGATTGTGTTTATCTTTTTCTGCTTGGGTTTTTGCATGCACCGAAATCGATTTGTTTGACACTTTGACTAATTGGTGAGAATAATTCATAGGGATGAAGAGATGTGGAAAGAGTTGCAGACTAAGATGGCTGAATTACTTGAGACCCGATATTAAACATGGTGGATTCACTGACGAAGAAGACAATATCATCTGCAGCCTCTATATAAGTATTGGCAGCAGGTTTCTCTCTCTCTCTCTCTTAAAAGAATCATCTCAGCTCCAAGATCTGAATAGTCTTCTTCCTATTTGCTTTTTGGCACCAGTTTTGGTGTCGCAATGGTTTCATGTAAATTAGAGTTAGTTACAGTTTATTTGATGTTTATTTATAATTCAAAAAAGTCAGTTGCAACTCAAAGTTGACGACCCTATTTTACAATAGGTCACAAGATTGAATGCCAAACTCATCCTTATTTTGTAGTAAATTTTGATAGAATATACAAAGAAAAGCTTCATTATCGTAGGCTTACGGTATGTTTTGTACGTAGATACTAACATTGCACAATTTTTTGTGCAATCTCAGGTGGTCCATAATTGCAGCCCAATTGCCTGGAAGAACAGACAATGACATCAAGAACTACTGGAACACCAGATTGAAGAAGAAGTTGCTTGGAAGGCGAATACAGTCACATACAAACCATCTATCGCCCGCTTGTCAGAACCCAAAAGATGAAAATGGCATAGAAGAATCAAAGTCCTTAAGCAACTCAGCCCTTGAGAGACTTCAACTCCATATGCAGCTTCAAACCCTTCAAAACCCTCTCTCTTCCTGCAACAATCCTGCACTGTGGCCCAAACTTCATCCCCTCCAAGAAAAGACAATACAGAGCCTCCACCTCCAGGGTCTGAATGAAAGCTCTAACCCTTTAATGCAACAGGCCGTCACACCCAGTAATCTGCAGTTAGATGAATTGGATAACTCTGTGATAAAATCATCTTCAGACAGCCCAATAATGTTCAATAATGGAAGCCACTTATCAAACTCAACTACTACTGTTCCAAAATCGGGTGGTATAGAACAATCAAACCCTGTAATTCAGTCAGTTTCAACATTTACCCAGGGGGATTTTGATGATTCTATCAACAACAAAGCGGTTGGTTCTGTATCTGGAGAGAATCAGATGGCTGAGTTTGACTGTTTCAAAGAGATGGATGATTCCAAGGACACTGTGATTTGGTGGTCTAATGACTTCCACACAAATTCAATTACTTCCTCAAACTCTTGGGATTCGATTTCTGTTCTCCATCAGCCTGAAAGATTTTATCAGGATTATGCATTAGGATACAGTGTGCAATGATGAACTACTCAAGTAGTAGAAAGCCTTTGATGTTCTTAAGAAGATTAAGATTGAAGCCATAATAACTGGTGTTGTAAATTGTGTAAACGATTTTATTACCTTGTATTGAAAAACAGCATTCGACCTGACTGTCAACTGAGATTTGATCTATTGTTTTGTTCATGCAGACTTTCAGTTCAAACTCCATTGGCCATTCAGTCAAAAAAAACTAACCTAATTTGTTGACATTATTATTTAAGTATACAAATTACTTGTACAATAATAATTTATTTAACCAAGTACTCAAGAAAATAAACTGAAAAATAATTTTCCCTAAAAGCACTAAAATTCGAAATAAAGTAAAAAATGATCTCACAAACTATATAATCAAACTGAAGCTTTGTTTTTAAAAGTTGGTTCATGCCTCCGGAGTTGATAGCTCAGTGCAATAACAAGTTTATTACGAAAATCATCTCCACTACTTTATTGCCAAATGCCAAAGAAGTGAAAGGGAGAATGATCATTTCTCACAATGCAATAGAACTCTTCTAATTAATAAGTAATTGTCAAGTTTATGTGGACTTGCTCATCAAGTTTAAATGGTTGAGTAAAAAGAGCTATAGATAAACTTGGTGGAGTCTTTGAAACTCGAATCCATAACCATGAAGTTTAATTGATGGCACGTAGAATTATTTTAAAGCAGATGCTTTTCTTACCTCTCAGGAAAGATCTTTCCACGAAGAATCACACAAGAAATTAAGTAAAAGGTGTTCGTTGCTTTCGTAGTAGAATCAAGAATGAGAATAGGAATGGCATAGAGATGGTGTAGTAGAAGAGTACTGCCGCTTGCATGTGTATGAACCTAATGGAGGCCCACTAATTTCAGTGTCTTGAAACACAAACTAATAAAAGCCCACACCTATTACTTAGGTGCTTAGAAAAACAACAGATCTTTTGTCAGCATGAAAGTTGAACTGAAGTGTCAGTGTTTCTTAAATGATTATATTGCACTGCTCATACCACATAAATGTTAAGGGCAAAATACAAAATAGTCTCTTAAGTACATGCGCTTTGAGTCAAGTTGATCTTCATTCTTTTGATTTTGTCAAGCTGATCGCTCAAATTTTCAATTTGTGTCAACGCAGTTCAAATGAAAAAACAGGGTCTCTAAATTCTCTATCCCAAATGGTCGCATACCTCTAATGTGACCACACTTAAATCTATTACAGGAATCCCACAGAATCCATTGAAGTCTCTCTCTCTCTCTCTCTCTCTATCTGATGTTAAATCCTCTTGCCTTCTTCCAAATTTAAGCAATAGAGCGTTCATACCTCACGTTCTTTTCCCTCCCAACATATATCTAGCTCATCATACATTGTTTTCTTTAGAAAGAAGAACAGCATAAATAAGGTCTAGCATTTGTTTCTATAGGAATCTGCCTAGATTGTTGTTTGTTTCTATAGCACCATTGATAGTGTAACTTAGAACATCCAGCAAAAATAATAAAGCCATATTTTGTCAGCCATTGCTTCATTGGATCTTCCAATTTAGAGAGATATAAATCAATAAACAAATCATATGAGAGCCAAACATTGAACGTGGGCACATCATTTTTTGTCCATGGAATCAAACAATTTTCTTAGGACAAAAAGACACAATATACATGCTTATATTGTGTGTGTGTGTGTGTACCTCAGATTCCACATAAATATACTAAAATATATTTTGGATCCATGTTAATTAAATAAGTGGTAGATTAAGCAACATGAAGAAGCTAGTGAATTTCTATTATGAATTTTAAGGCCAGACCATGTCCTTTCTTTTGAATGTATACGGGGACAGTGCTTTCAAGTTATGTTTCTTAAATAAAGTAATTGTAATGTCTACGTGTGTTGTGTTGCAGGAAAATAAGATCTTGTTGACTGGATTTCCTAACCATCATTACCAAAAGTTTTGTTGGTGTTTGGTTTATTTAGACATTGATTGGCCAACACATTTGAGCTTTAGTTTCTTGACTCTGACCCCTTAGAAGATGTTTCGAACAACTCCTCCAAATCTACAAGTCCATTGCAGGTGCTATAGTGGGGAGGATGGTCAGGGCCGAAACCAGAAAAGTGTTTTAGTTAGAAAACTATAGCTATCACACAAATTCTCTATAGAGGCTTGGAACTGATTAGAGCTTGTACGCTTGGTATGCGTCAGTCTCTGCTGGAATTTTTAATATATATCAAAGGTAGCCAAATTTTCCAATTTGGCATCACATGTTTGTAATGCAGTACAAACTTAAAACGACATATGAACCATAATAAGCTTATTCGCGCAAGCTTGCAAATCTTCAAATGCTGTTACTCGTGTTAGTTGTGTTCACTGTGATGCTTCTATGGGGATCATGGAGTCAAACACCCTAGCTGAAGCCTTCTTTGCCTGTAGGCAACAACAACAATATTGAGAACACAACATTAGACAAAATTGAAAACATTTTTTTGCATCATAAGTGTTAGAGATTTCATACGCTTTAAACCCATAAACAAAACACACACAATCGAAGAACAAACCAAGGACATAAAGTAATGAGAAACAAGAAAGAACAAGACACACAGATTTTACGTGATTCGATAGTTTTGCCTCCGTTAACGAAGTTGCAGGAATTTCATTATTGAGAGGGAAGAATACAGAGAGTGACTGTATAATACACATTAAACCTTAATTACCAAAACAACAGGTTTTATATGTCTTACACATTGGGCTACAAAACAGGCCAATTTTTTTTTTTCCCATGCCTTCGGACCCTCACGAGGCTTATCAATGAGCGCTATGGCTTGGGTCTATCGGCTCAAGCCTTCGCTCCATAGAGTAAGACTTAGAAAATTTCTCATTAAAAACTACGCAATATTATTTTGGTTCGGGTCATCATCCGGATCAAACACAGAATTAGATTCCACAAAAAAACCCCAACAATAAGGTATACAAATGTAAGGGAAAAGAACTTTAATTACCTCTTTCACCCAATTAGTGAGCACAGTTATAATCAATAGAACCAGCATTTGTGTATATACTGCGACTGCTATTCCTGTCCAAAGACCCTGTGAACCGCAATTGATATGGAAAATAATGTTAAGACGATAAGCTTTATTCTAAAGAATATATGTTTGAAAGTATGACTGGAATCAACAAGGTTCATAGGAGTGAAAAAAATTGTAAATTACCTTCCCTCCAATATGATAGACAAATGCTAACAGTATACCAAAAGGAATATCGATTAGATAATAAGCTCCAAAATTAACAATCGCACCAATCTTTTGCCAACCACAGCCTCTAGCAATGCCTGAAAGGTGATTCAATAGACAACATATCACCCACATATCATGTACATCGTTTAAATGCATATTGCATTTAGAAAGACTCAAACTCAGAATATGCACTGTTTTAATACCCCTCCTTTTCAAGGTTGGAGAGAAATTCGTATCCTCCAAGCCTGACTCAAGCAGCCAAATCATTGAACTTGCTCTGTTAATAAGGCTAAGAACGAACTTATTTATCAAGTTTTTTGCTTTTGATTTTTCATTGATTTTTAAATGTGCATAAACTAACTGGTACAATTACGAAGACCTGTTGCATTTTGAAAACTTGATTGTTATGCCTCGGAGTAGTCAGGCCAAATAGCGGCACAAACCATTTAGCACTGCTTGAATACCATCCGCCAAGTGCATTGATGCAACCAACAGCATCATTTCACCAACATAGTTTACTCTTTCATCTCTACTGTAACAGTAGCCCCAAACTTTACGCCCCAAGATCTTGACTATAGTCACCAAAATGCTCTCTGTAGCAACCATGAACATTGCAACCCATACTGCTAGACGGGTTGCTCGTGGTCTCCCAGCACCGAGTTCGTTGGATACTCTTACGCTAAGGAACAAGAAAAATAGGCATAGTTTAGGAAACAGATCAGGAGAGAAGAAAGCAGCCTGTCAGGCAGTTCAAAATTACCTTATTGCACTGCCGAGCCCACAAGGAATCATGTAAAACAAGGTATTTGTGTTGAGGCTGCAATCTATACAATGGATCACTAATTTTAGCTAGAAATTGTATTGATTTAAATTTCAGATAAACATTGGCTACAAATTAACATATGAAAAAGTTTTTATAAAGAGTACCAAAATGATGACACTGATCAAATAGCAACCTGACTGAAAGAACTGATGTTTCAAGTTCTGGATCCGGAAGGAGTCCAGCTATCAGAACCATAGTTTCAAATGACCAAATTTCCAAGCTGTTACAAGTAATCAGATGCGAATCAATTGAAACGAACAGAACAACTATATACGGAGCATTAACAAAATTGAAGTGAAACTAAAACTGATCAACATTACCAGACCATAATGGCAGAAGGAAAGGCAAGCTTTAGAAACTTGGGAACATCATGCAAAGCTTCTTTCGAAAAACCAGTCCAAGTGTTCTTGCAGGAAGGTGAAATCCTGATATATAAGGCCAATAACAGGACACTGATCCAATATGATATAGCATTGGCCAGTGCAGCACCTTTACTTCCAAGCCCGGATTTGAACACCATAATCCAACAAATTGGAATGTGAAGCAATGTTGTGATTAATGCACCAAACACCATTGATACAACATTGTTTTGTGTTTGCAGGAACCGATATTGACATTACTTGAAATAAAATGTGAATGAAAAAGGGATACAAACTAAGTGTAGAGCCCCCGTATATATAGTCAATGAGAGTTACCATAAGCACAAAAAGGTAAAAAAGGAAAATTTAATAAAACCCTAATAAACTAGGCTGCTGCTATATCTCCAACACTCCCCCTTAAGTTAGGCGCAAAAATGTCAACTAAGCCAAGCTTGACAACGGAGTTCCGAAGAATAGACAGAGTGACAGGTTTGGTAAAAACATCCGCAACCTGATCACTGGTCCCCACAAACGATGGAGTGATAATACCACTGCTAACCTTCTCCCGAAGAAAGTGAACATCAATCTCTATATGCTTCGTCCTCTCATATAGTACCGAGTCAGAAGCGAGCTGAATAGCAGATCGATTATCACAATATAATGTGAAAGAAGAGGTCACTGAAAAACCCAACTCGCCAAGAATCAATCGTAGCCAGATAATCTCACATGTGCCAAGTGCCGGTGCTCGATACTCTGCCTCTGCTAACGAGCGGGAGACAACTGCCTGCTTCTTGCTCTTCCAAGAGATAAGATGAGTCCCTCAAAAAACACAGAAGCCCGTAGTAGATCGACCATCATATGCTCCCCCATAATCTAAATCTGAATAACAGGCTAGAGAACCTGTTTGAGATCCTGATACATAAAACAACCCAAGTCCAGGACAAGACTTGAGGTACCGAAGAATATGAAAAACTGCATCAAGATGAGGCTGACATGACCTGTGCATGAACTGACTAACTTGACTGACTGCGAATGAAATGTCCGGCCTAATATTGGCTAAGTAGATAAGTCTACCTACTAATCTTTGATAAACTGTCGGATCTTTCAACTCCTCACCTTCAGCAGTAAGCTTCAGGTTTGGAATCATGAGTGATGATGCTGGTTTGCACCCCAACATCCAAGTATCTGAAAGAAGATCCAAAAAATACTTTCTTTGAGAAAGAACAACACCCCTACCGCTTCGGGCAACCTCAATCCCAAGAAAGTATCGTAGAAATCCAAGGTCCTTCACATCGAAGGCCTTCCCAAGGTCTATCTTGACCTACGCAGTTCCAGAAATATCATCACCAGTAATAATAATATCATCAACATATACCAGAAGAATGACACACTGTCTAGAAGTATTCCGTCGAATAAAGCAGGTATGATCAGAATGACACTTGGTGAACCCCAATCGTACGACTACATCACTAAAACAAGAGAACCAGGCTCGTGGCGACTGTTTCAGTCCATAAAGAGACTTACGTAGTCGACATACCTTTCCAGCATATTTTCCCTCACCACGAAAGCCCGGTGGTGTATCCATATAAATAATCTCGTTCAGATCACCGTGAAGAAACACATTCTTCACATCTAATTGATGAAGAGACCAAGAGTACTCCGTAGCTAGAGAAATAATCAATCGAACAGTAGTCAATTTTGCCACGGGGGCAAATATAGCATCAAAATCACGATCTGGTACCTGAGTAAGGCTCTTCGCCACAAGTTTAGCCTTGTGACGATCAATAGTACCATCCGCAAGAAACTTCAGGGTGTAAACTCAACGACAGCTAACAGGCTTCACCCCTGAAGGTAAGGAGACAAGATCCCATGTATGATTACGCTGAAGAGCGTCCATCTCTGTCTGCATGGCAAGAACCCATTGGGGCTCCCGCATAGCCTCCGAAATAGGGCGAGGAACCAGCGTATCTGATAAGGCCATAGTATAAGCTCGAAATGTGGGAGACAAATCACCATAAGAAACATAAGCAGAGATCGAATATAAAATTCTAGCGGTCCAACCATAACAATCAACTGGACGACGATCACGTCGCGGATAACGCCGTCCTAAATCATACTCCTCCACTGATAATGTCTCATCAGGTAAATGAATTGACTCAGCACCTGCAATCTCATCAGTATTAACAACAGGTGCATCAATATGCTTAACAAACTGAGAAGTATTACCTGCATCGCCTGAGGTAGAGGGGACATCAGCAGGGTGATGAGAGTGAGAGCGACGAACATACACCTGCAAAGGAAGAGAGACTGGTAACTCTGTACTGACAGAGATGAGTGGCTCTGAAGGAGGAGAAACAGATAACCCTGTAGGGATAATGACCAATGACTCTGACTTCTGTGGTAATGGAAAAACAAAGGAGTATCATCAACTGGAGGGGCAGACACAGGACTGGAAGGAAAATAAGGAATATGCTCAAGAAAGGTAACATCTAGACTGTGATACATACGACGCCTGATAGTATCATAACACCGATACCCCTTAGATTGATAATAATAGCCCACAAAGATACAACGAATCGCTTTATTATCAAGTTTATGACGAGTAGGAGACCGATCCTGAACAAAACATGTGCATCCAAAAACACGAGGGGGGACCGAAAAAAGTGTCCGCTCAGAAAATAAGACCTGTAAGGAAGCCTTATGCTGAAGAACACGACTCGGCGTACAATTGCACAAAAAGGTAGAAGTCAAAATAGTAAAATATCAATAAGATTTTGGTACCCTCATGCCTCTAAGCATACAACGTACCATCCCTATCAAACTCCTATTTTTCCTTTCAGCAACACCATTTTGCTCAGGAGTATATGGACAAGTGAGTTGCTGAAGAATACCCTGAGAAGAAATGTGAGACACTAAGGCATCAGACACATATTCTTTGGTATTATCCGAACGAAGAGCACGAACAATGACATCGAATTGTGTCTTAATCATTTATAAAAACTTAGTAATTATAGGAAGTACATCAGACTTTCTATGCAAAAGATAAACCCAAGTACAACGGGTATGGTCATCTATAAATGTCACATAATATCGGGCACCTGACAAAGCAGTAACGGGAGAGGGTCCCCAAATATCAGAGTGTATTAGGTCAAATGGCTTAGGTGATTGGTGCATGCGAGGAATATAACTGACCATAACATATTTCGATAGGAAACATATAACACAATCAAGTTTACCACTAACACAAGCATTGCTCAAAACAAGAAACAACATACATAAATATTTAAAATTTGTATGTCCAAAACGGTCATGCCACAACTGAACAGTTTGTGACGAAAAATCATAACGACAACTACTAGGTAAAATACTAGCATGCAAACTAGGAACAGAAAAAGACAAAGCAGGTGCAGGTGATGTAGGTGGAGGAATTTGTGAAACTGGAGGTGGATTGCCAAGATAATACAGCCCATCTTTCTCATGTCCCCTGACAATAGGGGCATGTGTCCCATTTGCTAACTAAACCTGTGTATGTAACTGCTCGTCAAAAGTAGTGAAGTGATGGGCCTCATCTGTCATGTGACCATTTGCACCCGAGTCCAACATCCAAAGGGGAGATGAACTGGCACAAGCGTGAAAGGCACGAGGTATACCTGTAGTGATGACAACAGCAGTAGTCAGACTCTGAGAAGTCAGAGCAGACATAAGTATATCTAATAGGGAAGTGATAGCATCCATATCACTCTGCCAAGGTGGAGCAGCAACAGCAAAAGTAGCGGTTGTGGGTGGTGGTCCCTTAGTAATAGCAACAGTACGGCTGCGAGGAGGCAACTTAAGCTCTGGATGGAGCTTCCAGCAAGTAGCCCTGATCGGCCACAATAATCACAGTGACGGGAATCCCCCTGTCTGCGCTAATCTGAGGCACCCTAACGAGAATTCCCTTGTCTGCGCTGATATGAGGCACCCTGACGGCACTGATCCGAGCGCTGCCCACCCCTGACTGAGGATCCTGAACGAGACCCTGCAACAACTACAAGGGCCATCTGGTCAACCGAAGGAGTCAAAGCTGCAACTGGAAGTGATGCAATACGGACTCGACGCTCATGCTGCTCAATCATCCCATACACCTCATAAAGAGAAGGAAGTGTCAACATCGACAAAATCTGAGAACAAGGTCCCTCAAACTCATCACGAAGCCCCATAAGGAACTTGTGAATCCTATCCTCCTGTTCTCGAGTATGCAAGAATGCTGCTCCCTTGGGCTCTATCTTCGAAATAGCAGCAAGAGGACGTAGAGTCTCATACTCAAGCCAGCGCTGGGTCAAATAGCTATAATAATCTTGAACGGTCATATCTCCCTACCGAGCATATGAGAGCTCCTGAGAAAACTCATAAACACGAACTCCCCATCCTGATTGAGAATACATCTCTGATAGTGCGCTCCATAGCTTCGGAACAGAGCTATGAAACTGGTGGATCCTGCAAACAGATGGCTCCATCGAGCCAAATAACCATCCAAGAATGGCGCAGTTCTCAGAGAACCACACAGAATATCCAGGGTCGGCATCAACTGGCTTTGTATGAGATCCCGTTAGCCAACCAAGCTTCCCTACACGGCCTAAGAAAAGCTGGAATGAGCGAGACCACTCAGCAAAGTTACGACCATTCAACAACTGTGTCGTAACTTTTTGAGAGATCATGCCCGGTAGTGCTGGTAATGCAATTGTGCTAGTAGGTACTGTATACTGGTCAAACATAAAAGTGGAAGTACCCATAGATGTCTCAACGGTAGAGGTGTCAACAGTAAGGTTCTCAAGTCCTTGAGTAGTAGCCATATCAACAACAACACTAGGGTACCCGTGACAGAAAAATAACTCTAAGATAAATAGAAAAATAAAATAAGGGAGAACAATATACCTCCAGTCGAACAATAGCGACAGACAAAGAAGGTCCAAAAAGCTCCTAAATAATCAGGTCACGGTGATAAAAAATCCAATAAATATAAATAATCTACTGCATCAAGAGCAAATCATCAAACAGAGAAAAAGAGGATTCAACCCCTCATAAAAAATCCTAGATACACTGTGATGAAGAGTGCAAAGGATGAATAGTGGACTGGGTTTATTGATTTAATATGTCGGTGGGGTGTATGTTGTTTCGACTGGATTTATTGCTGTGAGTTGCTGGGTATGTTGTTTTCGGTTGGCAGTGTATTGGGTATGGTGTGGGGTTTGATGAGAAAAGGTAAGGAGTTGATGTATGGTTGAGAAAGGTGCAATTGGCTGGGTTTGTGAGACAGTCGGTGGGGGTGTTTGTTGGCTGGGTTTGTGAGACAGTCGGTGGGGCTGGTGTTTGGTGTTGCTGAAGCAGGCGGTGTATTGGATACCTTCGGTTTTGTCGGCTGGGTTTGTGAGACAGTCGGTGGGGCTGGTGTATGGTGTTGCTAAGACAGTCGGTGGGGTGGTATACTGTTCGGATTGTTCGGTTGGTTTGTGGCCTAATGTTTGATCGGTGGTTTATGTGGTTTGACGGAGAAGGTTGGTTTATGTGATTTGACGAAGAAGGTTAAGGTTAGGGTTAGAGTATGGCTCTGATACCAACTTGAAATAAAATGTGAATGAAAAAGGGATACAAACTAAGTGTAGAGCCCCCGTATATATAGTCAATGAGAGTTACTATAAGCACAAAAAGGTAAAAAATGAAAACTTAATAAAACCCTAATAAACTAGGCTACTGCTATATCTCCAACAACATTGAAGAAGTGCCATATCAAAAATGGTAGGAATCATGAAACGAGGATAACCTCCAGTTTCGCCTGATATTTGGGGATTTTGTCCTAGGAATTCAAGAATATGGCCGGTAATGGCCCAAACACAAGCCGGAGGAATGCTGATTAGTAGGAGGACAAACATTGCTCTGTGTGTGTGTATCCCAAGCATGTGATACTGTTTTGCTCCATAGGACTGACCACAGAAGGTGTCTAATGCACATGCCAATCCGATCTGTCCAAGAAATGAATTCATAAGTTGAAGAACATTAGCATATGAAAATTAAACATGAAAAAGAATCTATAACCTTAAGGTACTTAACACCTAAGGATGCAATGGAACAGGTTGGATTATTGTTTTCAAAGCTCAGAAAACTGAACCACTCAATTCTTTTGTTGTCTGCTTAGACTAAAGTCTGCATAAATCTACTCAGAAGTATGAAGATTTCATTACTGCAAGTCCAAGATATTGAAATTAAGTTACAAAAACACACACAAATACAAGTATGAAAGGATCAAAATTTTCGTTTCGGTGGATTATATCGGTCACGAAGGAAATAGAAATGTTTCAATTGTTTTTTAAAATAGATCCTTGCATGTATATATGCTTTCATCATATAGTGGGGAAAAATCAAACTTACCAAAAAGCTGAAGCCGGTGACAGAAGCGAAGGAAGTGGCCATGGAAGCACCGGAAAGAGCTAGTTCTCCAACATGACCAACAAACATGACTGAAATCACCTGTACTAAAAATAGCAAGAGATTGGCAAACACACCAGAGGCCCTCCTAGCAACAACTGCTTCTTTGCTTCCATGAAGATCTCATCTTTGTTGAGTCCCTCCTTGGACTCAGCACCATTTTCTTCAGATTTTGAAACAAATGGTGTTTCAAGACCTGGTTTTTGTTCGTCTGTGTCCATTTGTTTTTCAACTCTTGTTTATTCACAAGGATGAGCAGACTGACAATATAAGACTGGAAGTTACAATTCTTATAGTAACAATCTGAAGAGGACGAAATGAGCACGAGGCAGAAGAAAAGCTCACCTTTGTGAAAATGCTATAAAAATATGGGATCCAATATGGTACCCAAGGTGCTCACCAAAAGATTATTATTGATCATAACATGTTGTGATCAATAATGAAAAATAAAACTTCGTAAGGTTATGTGACAATTGATTGAGCTTATTTATGATCAATCATCAGATTTCATGATTAATCACAACATCGATCACAGCATTGTGAATGCGAAAAGAGAAAATTACACAAATATTATTAAAAAATCAAAAATTGCAATTTAAATTATTAAAATAAAATGCACGTATTGTCTGGAGTCTAAAAAAATTGGCAGAAAACTCTTATATTATTTGTTATTAATTTTTACATTTCTTTACTAAAATGGAAAAAAAGGATTATCAAAGCATTAAGAATTTGACAAAAATTATTAAAAAGTAGAAAATTACAATCAAAATTATTAAAATAAAATGTAAGTATTATCTGGAGTTTAAAAAAATTGGCGGCATTGAATTTGGGCTCTCCTATGATTTATTTTTAATTTTTTAAAACATAAAAATGGATTACAAAAAAATTAAAAATTGCACAAAAATTATTAAAAAAATAAAATTACAATCAAACTTATTAAAATAAAATATAAGTATTGTCTGGAGTATAAAAAAATTGGTGGCACTGAATTTGAGATATACTTTGATTTATTATAAACTATGGATAACCCGTACCTGAAGGCACAATGCAACTAAAAAAAAATCGAACATTGAATAATCAAGCACAGAACTGAAGGCTTAAACTTGCCCTATATCACATGTTTGAAGGCACTGTACATAGTTTTTAAACATGAAATAATCAAACAATGAATATAAACACGCATTAAACTAAAAATCGTTTGGTCATTTTTAATGTCATAACTTTAGTAAAATAAAAAAGGTCAAAATGTGGATACTCTATAAAAAAAACTTTCAATTTTTCGACATAATATCACTGAAAATATGATGCCACAAAATTTATATATTTCATAATCATAATCAAATCATGTCACAACATAATTCTTCCTATACAAACAACTATATCCATACTTGTAAAAGTGACAAACAGAAGATAAAAGTATTAAAAAATTGAAATAAACCTATAATATTTTTCAATCATAGACTACTTTAATCACAAAACAAAATGACATAAACTACTTATAAATCAATCGCTATATCAATGAATGAACAAAAACCAATGTAAGAAATTTGCTTAATTAAAAAATTCTGTAATGAGAGAAATTGAAATCCATGTAAGAAATTTTCAATTTTTTGACAAAGCATCCTTCGAAAATATATTTTAGAAAACTTATATATTTTAGAACCAAACCATGTCATATGCATGCTAATTACTAAAAAAACATCATAATATTAACCATCATCATCCCTAAACATGACTATTTACCAATTGTTTTAGGCATCAAAACAATAATAACTATCATAAAGTCATAGTTGTGCCTAAACATATAGCACCATTGCAAAATAAACCCATAGTTGTGCCTAAACATATATAAGGTTAAAGAATGTCCACAAAACGTAATTAAATATAGTACATTTGTAAAATGGGTCATTCTTTAATCTAGTTTATCAAAATGGGTCATTTATCTGCACATCATTGTAAAAACAGTTTCTCCATCACAGCCTTGAATGTCATTGTATCAATTCAAATCCGCAACTTCCAGCTGGGGGAGTGTACAACAATCTAACATTTACAAAAACAATTAAATTTAGTACACGACAGGAATTTTAAAATTATAAACTTGAAAATAAAAAATAAATTTAGTTACCTTATTCAAACAACCCCATCGAAAAAGATGGGTTGCATTTAGTCTTTTTAACTCCTGCACTGCTTCATCCCAATTCTAAAGATTAAATAACAGAAATAAAATGTTTAATCAATAAAATAACATTGTTAAAATGTTTGAAATGTAATACCACTTGGCACGAGGTACTTACCTTTCCCTTGTCAAAAGAGGTTGCTATTCCTTTTCCTTTACACTTTGGATTTGAAGTTACGACTGCTCTTTCTTTTGCCTTTTAGTTAGTAAGCATAGATAAATAAAATTATTATATTTTTTTTAAAAAAAGTCTAATTTATAAACAAACTGATGTGTCATGACACTACCTCAGAAATGAGGATGCAATTGAGTTTGCGTTCGTTGAGGATCACAACACCAACGTTATTTTTCTTGAGTAATTAAACCTATACATGAATATGCAATTAACAGGTAAATGAACTCAAAACAAAAATTGATTATCAAAGCATTAAAAATTGCACAAAAATTCTTAAAAAATAGAAAATTACAATCAAACTTATTAAAATAAAATGTACCAATTTTTTGGAGTCTAAAAAAATTGGCGGCGTTGAATTTAAACTCTCATTATTTATTATTAATTTTTACATTTATTTCCTAAAATAGAAAAAAATGGATAATTGAAGCATTAAGAAATGTACAAAAATTGTTAAAAAATAAAAATTACAATCAAACTTATTAAAATAAAATGTATGTATTGTCTGAAGTTCAAAAAATTTGGCAGCACTAAATTTGGACTCTCCTATAATTTATTATTAATTTTTTAAATTCTTTTCTAAAATAGAAAAATGCATTGTCAAAGCATTAAAAACTGCACACAAATTATGAAGAAAAATAAAATTACAATCAAACTTGTTAAAATAAAATGTACGTATTGTTTGGAATCGAAAAAAACTAGTGGCACTGAACTCGGACTTTAAAAATAAAAAATTACAATCTAACTTGTTAAAATAAAATGTACGCATTGTCTAGAGTATAAAAAAATTAGTGGTACTAAATTCCGACATTGCAATGATTTATTTTTAATTTTTCAAATTCTTTCCTTAAATAGAAAAAATTGGATTATCAAATCATTAAAAATTGGACAAAAATTATTAAAAAATATGAAATTGCAATCTTACTTATTAAAATAAAATGTACGTATTGTCTAAAGTGTAAATAATTTGGCGGCATTGAATTGGGACTCTACTCTAATATATTATTAATTTTTCAAATTTTTTCTTAAAATAGAAAAAATGGATTATCAAAGCATTAAAAATTGCACAAAAATTATTAAAAAATATAAAATTGCATTCTAACTTATTAAAATAAAATGTATATATTGTTTGGAGTCTAAAAAAATTGGCGACACTGAATTCAAACTCTTCTATGCTTTATTATTAATTTTTTAAATTATTTTCTAAAACAAAAAAATGGAATATCATAGAATTAAAATTGCACAAAAATTATTAAAAAATAGAAAATTACAATTAAACTTATTAAAATAAAATATACGTATTGTCTGCAGTCTAAAAAAATTTGGCAGCACTAAAGTTGGACTCTCCTATAATTTATTATTAATTTTTAAAATTCTTTTCTAAAACAGAAAAATGCATTATCAAAGCATTAGAAATTGCCCAAAAATTATTAAAGAAAAGAAAATTACAATCAAACTTATTAAAATAAAATGTAAGTATTGTCTGAAGTCTAAAAAAATATGATTTATTATTAGTTTTTCAAATTCATTCCTAAAATAGAAAAAATGGATGATCAAATCATTAACAATTGCACAAAAATTATTAAAAAATGGAAAATAACAATCAAATTTATTAAAATAAAATATACGTATTGTCTGCAGTCTAAAAAAATTGGTGGCAATGAATTCGGACTCTCATTTGATTTATTATTAATTTTTTAAAAATAGAAAAAAGTAGATTATCAAAGCATTAAAAATAGCACAAAAATTATTAAAAAATGGAAAATTACAATCTAACTTATAAAAATAAAATGTATGTATTGTCTGGAGTCTTAAAAAAAGGCGACATTGAATTTAGATTCTCTTATTATTATTATTATTAATTTTTTCTCTTTACCAAAATGAAAAAAAAAGGGATTATCAAAGCATTAGAAATTGCACAAAAATGATAAAAAAATAGAAAATTGCAATCTAACTTATTAAAATAAAATGTAAAATTGTCTGGACTCTAAAAAAATTGGTGGCGCTGAATTTGGACTTTGCTATGATTTATAATTAATTTTTAAATTTCTTTCCTAAACTATAAAAAATTGATTATCAAAGCATTAAAAATTGCACAAAAATTATTAAAAAATAGAAAATTACAATCAAACTTATTAAAATAAAATGTACCAATTTTTGGGAGTCTAAAAAAATTGGAGCGCTGAATTTAGACTTTACTATGTTTAATTATTAATTATTCAATTTTTTTTAAAATAGAAATAATAGATTATGAAAGCATTAAGAATTGGAAAAAATTATTTAAAAATAGAAAATTAAATCAAACTTATTAAAATAAAATGTATGTATTGTCTGAAGTCTAAAAAAATTTGCTGTACTGAATTTAGACACTCCAATGATTTATTATTAGTTTTACATTTCTTTCCTAAAATGGAAAAAAGAGACTATCAAAACATTAAGAATTGCACAACAATTATCAAAAAATAGAAAATCGCAACCAAATTTATTAAAATAAAATGTACGTATTGTTTGAAGTCTGAACAAATTGGCGGCACTGAATTTGGACTCTTCTATGCTTTATTATTAATTGTTTAAATTATTTTTTAAAACAAAAAAAATGGAATATCAAAGCATTAAAAATTGCACAAAAATTATTAAAAAAAATAAAAAATTACAATCAAACTTATTAAAGTAAAATATACATATTGTTTGCAATCTAAAAAAATTGGCGGCACAATTTATTATTAATTTTTTAATTTTTTTCAAAAATTTTAAAAAATGGATTATCAAAGCATTAAAAATTTCCCAAAAATTATTACAAATAGAAAATTGAAATCCAACTTATTAAAATAAAATGTAAGATTTAAAAAAAAATGGTGGTGCTATAGTTGGAC